TGGCTTTGACTCATAGTGACCCTGTGCACAGCAGAACACAAACACTGTTGGGTCCTGCGCCATTCTCACAACTGTTGTTACAATTGAGCACATTGCTGCTGCCACTGTGCCAATCCATCCTGTTGGGTCTGCCTTTGTTTCACTGACTCTCAGCTTTACCAAGTATGAAGTCCCTCTCCAGGGACTGGTCCCTCCTACAATATGTCTGAAGTATGAGAGACAACGGCAGGTCATTCTGGCTTCTAAGGAGGATTCTGGTTGTATTGATTCCAATACAGATTTGTTTGTTCTTTTGGCAGTTGGTGGTATTCTTCTCCAACCCTAGAACTCAAATGCATCAATTCTTCTACAGTCTTCCGTATTCACTTTCCAACTTTTACTTGAATCCGAGTACCATGATTTGGGTCAGGCACGTGTAAATCCTCAAAATGACATCTTTGCTCTTGAACATTTTAAAGAGGTCTTGTGTGGCAGATCTGCTTAATACAATATGTTTGATTTTTTGACTGCTGCTTCCATGAGTATTGACAGTGGAGCCAAGCAAACTGAAGTCTTTGACAATTTCAATCTTTTCTCCATTCATCACGATCTTATTTATTAAACCAGTGAAGATTAAACCTGCTGCCCTCAAATCAATTCCTACACCTTTCGACCCTATTGGACAGAACAGAATTGCCCCACAGGGTTTCCAAGACTATAGCTCTTTAAGGAAGCAGATGGAATCATCTTTTCCTCCTAAAACAGCTGAAGAGTTGGAACCACCAACCTTGCAGTTAGCAGCCAAATGCTTAGACTTAATAGTGATATGATTTGGGGTTTACTTCTAATCTCTAGAGTCAAGACTGATTTACTGGCAAAATGATGGTAGTGTTACCAGAGATGTTACTTTGAGGAATAAACCATGCCTGACCCAAGCCATGGTATTTTCAATAGCCTCATATACATGTGAAAATTACACAATTAATAAGGGAGCCTGAAGAAGAATCGATGCCTTTGAATTTATGGTGTTGGCGAAGAGTTTGAACAGACTGCCAGATGAATGATCAAATCTGTTTTATAAGAAGTGCAGCCAGCCCCTCTGAATAGTTTTCATCTTGTCTAGATGGCTCTGGTAAAAAGAGATGAGGATAAGATTCTTATGATTCAATAGTGAGTAATTGTTATCATGACTAATTGCAACTGTCACAACTGTAAAGGTAGAAGTTTTGTAACAAAAATAGGGGAGTGGTTAATCTTACAGTCCAGAAACAGAGGACCCTGAGACCACCAAGGGAGAAGAGCACAAGTGGAATGTGGGACCCTATCCAGAGAAGCAGCGACACCAGGGATGGAGGCAGAGATGGGGACATGGGGAGAGAGCAGCTGAGGACTCTAGACTCATGGAAACAGAGGGACTGAGGGCTGGCAGCCAGGAGGCAGACTTGCAGAATGTGTGCTTTGGTGATGTAAATTATTATATATGCCTGAGTGTTTAAGGAAAAAAAAAAAGAGCTAAAATGAATACAGAGAAATACTGTTAACTGATGGTACATGGAGGGGATTATAATCATTGTAATGAAACAAAGTATACAATTTGTTGAATGTAAAACTGATGAGCTGCCTTGTAAACTTTCACTCAATTCACAATAAAAACTTAAAAAAAAAAAAGCTGATGGAAGAAAAACAAAAAAAGGAAGTGCAGCTAGAATACTCCTTAGATGTGAGGATGGTGAGACTTGGTTTCTCATACTTGGACATGTTGTCAGGAGGGACCAGTCCCTGGAGATCATGCTTGGTAAAATGGAGGGTCAGAAGACCCCCCAATGAGAACAGTTGACACAATGGCAGCAGCTATGGGCTCAAATGGAACAATTGTGAGGATGACGCAGAACTGGGCAGGGTTTCCTTCTGTTGTGCACAGTGTCAACAACATTACGCACTTTAGCTCAGGATCGATCCAAAGAGATCGCGAAATGTTAAAGGGCTTTCTTTGCAAACTCTTATCATTTATACATGTCTTATGGTGTCACAAACCGGTGGAGGCAGCTGGCTCTGAGTTTTGAGAAGCTGCTTGTTCCAAGGATGGTTTGGGGGAAGCCTCAGAGCCCTAGTGACACAGTGGGTTAAGCATTGAGCTGCTAACCACAAGGTCGCTGGTTCGAACTCACCAGCTGCTCCAAGTAGAAACAATGAGACTGTCTGAGCCTGTAACAATTTACAGCCTTGGAAACTCTGTGGGCGGTTCTACTCTGTTCTCTACGATCATTGTGAATTCACATCAGCTCCTTGGCAGCAGGAGGATACTGGCTGACCTCCTGAGAGACTCCAGTGTGTCAAGGGTGGATTAGTTAGAACTTGAACCGGCAGCCTTTAAACCCTACCATTAGCATATATTTTAACAGAAAGCAAAATTCTCTGAATTCATAATAGAGCAAAATATTTCCGAGGTTCACAAAACAAAGCTGCCCATATCAAAAAGCTAGAACGTGTTATGTACAGAGATTGAAAGGGACGTTATAAATATCAAAAAATGTGTGATGCCAACTGTCTCAAAGAAAGTGGAGTCATATTTGTGAAACTGTAGCCTATCGTGTATTTGCCATGGCAACCAAACCCAGCCTTGGGTACAGTTAAGAGAGTTTGCAGCTTTGATAGTCCTGTGCACGGGTTTTGGAATAGAAATAAAATGATTGTAGGAAATGACATTAACGAGAATAAAATGTCATCAAGGCAGCTGACGTGACTGGGCGGGACGTTCCCCAGTCCAGAGCTGACACGCCATTCCCCAGGACAGCAACGGGAATACCAAGAGCTCCTCACTCTGGGTGGCCTGTTTTGAGAGGAAACCAAACTCATTGCCACTGAGTCGGCTCTGACTCCTAGCGACCCCACACAGAGTTTCTGAGGCTGTAAGTGCTTACAGGAGCAGAAAGACTCATCTTCCTCCCATCGAGCAACTGGTTGGCTTGAATCCAGTGCTTATCAAAGCTCCTACTTTTGAAAGGAAACCGTTCTCGTATTTCGGAGCTATACTGTCACGTGTAAATTTCTGACTGTAGACTACACTCACTAGGTCGAGATTTTCTTTCAAAGACCATTCATTCCCTGCTTAGCATCTATGGGTTGCGCCAAAACGTTTGAGCAAATTGAATGAAAAGATTCAAATCTGTGGTTCAGAGACATTTTTTTGCATCCCACAGATTTTGATGTGTAGCGTTTGTATTTCCCTTCAATCCAACATATATTTTGATTTCTAGTATGGTTTCCTGTTCATTATTTGGAAGTGTGTTATTTAATTTCCTAGTTTCTGTTTTTTTCCCTGAATATTATCCTGTTGTTGGTGTGTAGTCTAATTCCATAGTAATGAGAAGCATTTAACATGATTTCAATTCTTTTGCATTTGTTGAGTTCTGTTCTGTGGCTCAGAACGTGGTCCATTTTGCTGAATGTTCCATGTGGATATGCATTCTACTTTTGTTCCATGGAGTGTTCTCTAAACACCAACTAGCTCAAGTTGGTTGGTAGCACTATTCAGCTTTCTACATTCCTACTGATTGATGCTGATATGTTCTATGATCCTATGGAGCACTGATGGCACAGTGGGTTAAGTACTGGACTTCTAATGTCAAGGTTGGTGGTTCAAACCCACCAGGTATTCCTTAAGAGAAAGATGAGGCTGTCTGCTCCCGTAAAGATTTATCGTCTCAGAAACCCTATGGGGCAGTTCTACTCCAGCCTCTGGGGTCGCTATGAATTGGAATCAACTCGATGGCTATAGGTTTGGTTTGAAGGGTGCGGTAGAGATGGAAAGGCGATGTCTTTGGTGTGAAGCTGGCAGGAAAACGATGGACCAGAGCAGGATGGGAACAGGGGGCAGGGGTTGTAAAATGTCAAGACAGGACAGGGATAAAGGATGCCAAAAGATGGCAGAAAGAAGTGGAAGCAGCTTTGTCACCGGCTGTGGAGACTGAGGACCACTAAGTAAGGCCACAAGAATCGCTGCGGGATTCAGAACTTGAACGATGACGTCATTGGGTGCTGTCAAGCTAATTCTGACTCAGAGCATCCCCATGTGGCACAGCAGAAATGTCCCCAAGGGTTTCTGAGGCTGGTGTCTTTCCACATTGGCAGGTCTTCCTCCCATGCAGTCTGCAGGGTAGGTATGAACCACCAACATTTTGGTTAGCTTAAGCAGAGCATCACCACGATGTCTTTGAAGGACGATACCAAACCAAACCACTGCCATCAAGCCGAGAGAGAAGCTAGCTGAGCACCACCAGTAAGGAACCAGGAGCTGAGCACAAGGTTTGACCCCGGTGTCCCTGCAGTGAAAGCCTCCTAGACCCAGGGGAAGAGGGGAGCCAGGACACACAGAGAGTTCATCGGGATGCTGGGCCCACAGGTGCTGAAAGGAGACAAGGACCTTCCCCCAGACCCCACAGAGAGAGAAAGTCTTTTCTTAGAGCCTGCACTCTGAATTTGGACTTCTAAATAGGCTAGCCACCTTTCACCCTCACCTCCATAACAAAAGCAAAAAGCAATTACTGTCGAGTCCATTCTAACTCATCTCAGCCCCATGTGTGTGCTCCTCCGGGATTACAATGGCGGACGTCTTTCAGAAGTAGACTGCCAGACCTTTCTTCCAAGGAACTTCTGGGTGGATTTGAACTCCCAACCTTGTGGTTTGTAGCTGATATAGTAAGTCCTCCTTGTCTATTCTGACTTTTCACAGATTCTTTTCTCCTCCCATGTTTGAATTCAGGCAGTAGAAATTCCATCTCCCCCACTTCGCATTAACTCCAATCAAACTCAGTTGATAAGAAATAAGGGCCATCGAGGCGGTGGGGTTGGGGGCGGGTGAGATGACCGATGTGGCAGGGAAGCCACTGTGAGGCCCACACAGCTCACCAGCCACTTCTCAGAAACTCTACATATAGTTGCTATGAGTCAGAAGCAACTCCACGGCACTTAACAACAACAACAACAATTCTCCTCACCTCCCACACCCATGCCAGACTTACCAACTTCATCCCTGATGTCTGCTAGCTCTATGGACAGCTCTTTTTCTTTCACAAGGGCACATTCATTCTGAAAACAAAACAAAAACAACAAAATGGGTACCGACAGTTGCCTTGTTTCATGCTAGATTAGCACGTCCGCATATAATCAATCAGATTGAGCAAACCTTTATGAGTCTAGCTTTTGAGGAGAGAATGTTCTCACTATATAAGACACAGACCAAACTTACCAAAGCCACGACATCTGTATCACATTCAAATGGCTGCACTATACAAGTCACAATATCCAGGGCTGTGGGTTTTCTCCGTAGGCCCTCCCCAGCTTATGAACGAGAGCCGTTCCTGTATCCTGAGGGGTTGGTAGGTGAGTTGGAACAGGTGCAAAAAAAGGGTGCACTGATGGCACTGTAGAATCAGCACTGGACTGCGAACCATAAAGTCGGCAGTTCAAACCCACCACCTGCTCTGAGAGAGACAGATGAGGCTGCCTGTTCCTGTAAAGATTTACAGCCTCGGAAACCCTATCTTTTGTGTCACTATGATTTGCAATTAACTCGACAGCAGTGAGATTTCTGGTTTCAGCACTGGCCTGCTAACAGCAATGATTTAACATATGCAGCAATTAAAAGTGGTGGTGATGAAGAAATTGTTGTGAGT